TGGCATGGTAGCTAGATATCAAAGTAATCCAGGACGGGAACATTGGTCTGCGGTGAAGCATATACTCAAGTACCTGAGAAGGACTAAGGAGTACATGTTAGTTTACCGTGCAGACAGCTTGTTACCTCTGGGTTACAGTGATTCTGATTTCCAGTCAGATAGGGATGAAAGTAAGTCAACCTCAGGTTATGTGTTTACCTTGGGAAGTGGAGCCATTTCATGGAGGAGTGCTAAGCAGAAATGCGTGGCAGACTCCACCATGGAAGCCGAGTACATAGCAGCCTCAGAGGCAGCGAAAGAGGCAGTTTGGCTCAGGAACTTCTTAGTGGACTTAGAGGTTATACCGAGTTTGCCACGTGGTATCACCGTGTACTGTGATAACAGTGGAGCAGTAGCGAACTCAAAAGAACCTCGAGCCCACAGGGCAAGCAAACACATAGAGCGCAAATACCATCTGATTCGGGATATCGTTGGTAGAGGAGACGTTGATGTTGCCAAGATTGCATCAGAGGATGCATGGCGATAGGATCGACATAGGTCTTTTAGAATAACGGATTGATAGGACTATACTGTAAAAGCGAAAGCTTTAAGTATAAGTGGGAGATTGTTAGTGTTATATACTGAAAGCTTGGCTTTGCATGTTATTACACATTTACCCTTTATGAATGAGAATCATGTTAGATTAAACAAGTTCTACGTTCTGTTGTTCTGCACTTAGATAGGGTGGGTCGTCATCGGGCGAACCGAAGATCACTCTATCAGTCACTTGCGAACAAGAATAGTTGTTCACAACCTAGATGGACATGAACACCCCATCCGAACGGTTGTAGTGTCAACTGTACAGTTTGTCTTGACTGATTAGTTGCACTAGTACATTTATGTATTGAACAGGATCCCAGAGAGGAGAAGTTCATTTTATACTGATCGTCGTAAATGAACTAGGCCTCGGTTAATTACTGCGTTCTCTTAACCCGTAAGATATTAAACAGGCAGATATATATAATATATATTACTTTGATTCACATGGGTGAGGTTCAGTTCGCTGGATTAATATTCCTACTGTTTTGGGTAATATTATTATATATAGGATGTGCTGTTAGGATATTTACGGTCACCATGTGCGTTAGTTTGATGATGTCCCCGGAGTGAGTTCATGAAGGATTGTTATGCTAAACCCTGCAGGTGGATTAAATTCCGGCATAATAAGAATGTGATGAACGAGCGCTAGCTTCGGTGAAATAATAATAAATTAATTAATTCTTGATTGTCAGTAATCGAATTAATTAATGGACATTATATCTTAAACGTGGGGAGGTAAATCGAGTAATTATTATTGGAGTCTCAAATGTAATTTGGGCTAGGGAAAGGGAGTGCAATAATATAATGTTGGTGGCCCATTAATATTATTTAATTAATTAGAGGAGTGGGCTTGGCCCACAGTTAGTCTAATTAATTAAGGAGCCCTTTTCCCAATCTCCTTAGGGTCCCTACTGTAGCTCTATATATACATCATTAAGCTCATGAGAAGAGAATAGAAGTCTCATTCTCACGTGAAACACGCCTCTCTCTCTAGATCTCATTCGAGCTTTATCTTCTTCTTGTTGCTCCACTGGTACAAGTTGAAGAAGGGTGTATTGAGTAATACAGTAGAAGATCTGTAGGTAAAACGAGACGAAATATATTTTGACCTACAGAACTAACCGGAAGTCCGATTGAGACGTACAGTATACCCAGACGACCGTCTCGACGAGAGCTTTCCATCGCTGCCGACGTCGCCGGAATCTGACGCCGCACGTGCCCCCACGCACTGCTGGAAGGTGCCAGGCAGCAAAATCTCGTTTTGATCTGTTTGCATCCGTTTGATCCAGTTTTGATCTGATCTTGTTCGCGCAACCCAAGACGTGATTTGCGGTCAATCAATTGCGGTCAACCGTTCGTGGTCAACCAGATCTACATAAATTTTAAGCCGTAAGTTCTCTACGTCAAACCTTTAGATCCGCTGCGCATAGGTTTACGTTTGCTATTGAATTCGTGATTTGTACATAACGAGATCCTCACAGATCCCAACAGGATACTGCACACCCCATCGGGAGGACTATCTCATATCTGCACACCACCCATATGGGAGTAAGGGTACTACACACCACCCCGTTGGGAGGGCTATCTCATAACTGCACACCCCATCGGGAGGACGGGTACTGCACACTCCAATTGGAGAACTATATCATATATGTACACCCCGACGGGAGGACATGTACTGCACACCCCGCCGGGAGGACTATCTTATAACTACACACCCCACTTGGAGGACGGGTACTGCACACTCCGACGGGAGGACTATGTCATATCTGTACACCCCAATGGAAGGACGGGTACTGCACACCCCATCGGGAGTACTATCTCATCTCATATCTGTTGCACTCTCTCAAGGACGGTATCACACCCCAAAGGGCGGTCTCGTACCCTAAAGGGAAATAGTGCTCATATATCAAGTCACAACGACTATATCAAATTGTTAACGTGAATATAGCGTAGTACAGAATCTCCACCTTAATTGCAGAATGAATGAATGATGAATGCTCAGAGTTCTTCTCGAGGGCTCGAATCCTTGTAATTCTCCTGATAAGAATTTATTTATCATAAATCTTTTCCTCAATAAAATTCTTGACTTAATTGCTTAATTATTTCATTTGATAAATTCTTAACATAAGCCCTTTCACTTAATTAACTAACTTCTCTAATTTATTGATTTTTCTTAACTTGATTAATTAATTTAACAAATTAATCTTCTATAATTAACAAGCTCAACTAAAGTCTCGGATAAAATATCTCAAGGCTCGATTAAGGCTCGAAAAACTAAATTTTAGCTCAGCTAAGGCTCAACTTCAAAATAATTAAGGCTCAACTAAAAAATAATACTTAGTCTCGATTTAAAATAACAATGGCTTGATTTTCGGCTCAGCCCGACACGCACGGACTGCGGCTGGGTTGGTGCTAGTGGTGTCTGGGTCGCACCTGGGGGCTGCTGGCCAGTCAGACCTAGGTCTGGTGCCTGGGACGCTGCTGGTGCGCAGGTGCATGACACTGGAATAGGTCATCTAGGAGGATGCGTGTCGCGCGCAAAGTAATGGGAGTGTTGGGGAGCACACGAGTCTGCACCTGGGATTCCTGAGCTCTACATCCATCGATTCCTGAGATCGAGCTAGCTCATCCCATTCTACCTCACCCTCAGATTCATCTATTAGTCCTCTAGAAGGACCGGGTCGCTTGGTAAGAGCTAGTTCATGATATATTATTTCTATAGAGGGCTATACGTTATGCTTGTCAATCAGTTGGTCAAGGGAATTGTTTGAGCCTGACATATCTAACATACGATTTGATATACGATATGAAATTCATGTTGTGTGACTCTAAAAAACAAAACAAAATAAATAAAATACCAGCTCACGATAACACCAACATCTAGATACAAAGCATTTCGAAAAACCACAGACCTAGAACAAACAACACAAAAATGGGGTGGGAGATGGGCTTCAATCACTTACCCATTGTCGTGATGCATATTGGACGCCAGAGGAAGAAAGTTCATTGCTCATAGTGTTTACAAAGAAGTTTGTAGGATAATAAGGCTCGAGAATAGGAGAAACAAATGGCATAAATAGCGAAGGTGTCAGAATGAGGATATGGGAAGCATTTATAGAGGGAAGATGGCTTGTCTACCCTTAGATATACTAAGATCAACGGTCCAAAATGAAAATTCCCTCGCATAATTCGAGAAGGTGCTCTTATCGAGGCGGCACATCATATTCTAAGAAGGCTTTTTCAAAATTGCAATGATAATCTGACAAACTCTAATGCACGTCATCCCTACTCCAAGTTGGTCGCAACACTATCTCACTTGA